TCTATCTATCTATCTATCTATCTGTCTGTCTGTATGTATATCTATCTATATATCTGTCTGTCTGTCTATCTATCTGTCTGTCATCTGTCTGTCTGTCTATCTATCTATCCGTCTGTATGTCTATCTATCTATCTATCTATCTGTTTATCTATCTATATATCTGTCTGTCCATCTGTCTGTCTGTATGTCTATTTCTATATATCTGTCTATCTATCTATCTATCTATCTATCTATCTATCTATCTATCTATCTATCTATCTGTCTGTCTATCTGTCTGTCTGTCTGTCTGTCTATCTATCTATCTGTCTGTATGTCTGTCTATCTATCTATCTATCTATCTATCTATCTGTCTATCTATCTATCTATCTATCTATCTATATGTCTGTCTATCTATCTATCTATCTATCTATCTATCTATCTATCTATCTATCTATCTGTCTATATATCTATCTATATAGTATCTATCTATCTATATGTCTGTCTATCTATCTATCTATCTATCTATCTATCTGTCTATATATCTATCTATATAGTATCTATCTATCTATATGTCTGTCTATCTAGCTATCTATCTATCTATCTATCTATCTAGATGTCTGCCTGTCTGTCCGTCTATCTATCTATCTACCTGTCTGTCTATCTCTTTACTTATCTGTTTTCTATCAAACCATCTGTCTGTCTGACTGTCTATCTGTCTGTCTGTCCATCTATCTAATAGCTATCTGTCTGTCTGTCCATCTATCTAATAGCTATCTATCTTTCTATCTATCTATCTATCTATCTATCTATCTATCTATCTATCTATCTATCTATATATCTGTCTGCCTGTCTATCTATCTATCTATCTATCTATCTATCTATCTATCTATCTATCTATCTATCTATCTATCTGTCTGTCTGTCCATCTGTCTGTCTATCTATCTATCTATCAGTCTGTATGTCTATCTATCTATCTATCTATCTATCTATCTATCTATCTGTCTGTCTGTATGTCTATCTATCTATCTATCTGTCCATCTGTCTGTCTGTCTGTCTGTCTATCTATCCGTCTGTATGTCTATCTATCTATATATCCGTCTGTCTATCTATCTATCTATATTTCTCACAGTGACTAAGTAAGAAGCACAAGAAAAATCTGTGTGAGTAAGTTGATTATTTTTTGTGTGTGATAAAATATAAAATTAACATAGGAAATAAAATAAATAGATTGTTGTGGGGAGTAAAAAAAACAAACAAAACAGTGCGGGCTCATAAAATAAATACATGCACTTTGTGTATTTGTTGTATTAATAAATAAATCTTATGTTTGAAAACTCAATAAAATAATTTAATATAATGAAAACAAATCTAGAATTGAGAAATTCGATTCTTTCCACTCAGGCATAAGTCTGCATGCATTCGGGCTGCTCTCTGGATTGTTGTGTGTCTCCAGTGATTCTCTATGAGTATCAGTAATGGCACACTTTAGTAGGCGTAGGCAATTTGCATCACTCAACATATGTCCACAATGCCTGTCCAAGAAGGACTCAACCCACGTTCCACTACAGAAACAGCATTCAGACACTAGAATTTACATACCACTTTCGTATTGTATCAAACTATCACTCCTTCCTTCATAAAGTAATCTGTCTTTCTGACACTTTTTATTCCTATTAGAAGTTTATTCCATTTTATTTTCTGAAACTTGCGACATTGTCTACATTTACATAATGAGATTTATTTATTTATTACACATTTTACCATGAAGGATACATTGAGACTTCTCTCGTTTTCAAGCATGTCCTGGACACAAATGACCAATATTGCAAGAAAACAAAGCAGCATTCACAAATCGAATTATTTTTTATTTTTTAGACAAAGAAATCTATACAATCATTGAGTAATTAGAGGCTATAGGGCCTTGATTTACTAAGCTTTCCAAATGATTCCATACAATTAGAAAAACTGTCTACAGAAGTCATCGTTAGAAGAATTTTTACAGATAATCATTTGGAAAGCTTTCTAACAGTATGGAATCATTCGGAAAGCATATTAAAACAAGGCCTAGGTTAGCCTATGGATGGAGCTGTGAGGGGGTAGATCTAGAAAAGTCTTGAGTTTGGAAGCCATGAGCCTTAAAGAATAAGTTGCATAAAATAACTTTTCTATTGAAGAGTAAAAATGAATGTGTACACACAATAGCAGAACAATTTTTTCCCACTGGGTCTGGATGTTCCTTTGTTGTGAGTGGCTGTTATTTGGCAATACAATAAAAATGCATCCTTCAGATTTAGACAAACGCGTAGGAACAAGCATCCCCCTTTTCTTTGCTCTGGGTAAATTATTGTATTGGGACTAGTTGCTAACCAAAACAAATAAAGAAGTATGGATTGGGCATCCATTGGCTCTCTCATGGGGGGGTTAGGGGACTTTACGTCATCAAGCATCTATTCCAAAAGTGCTGGGCTCCTACTTGATGGTAGTTGCTCCCCTACACATGTTCTGGAATAGTATTACAGCTAATTATTGACCCTCTGATTAATTGAAGTGCTTGGCACTACTTATCGGTTTATTCATAGGGAGAAAGCAGTAAATTGTATACAATATCATCTTTGACCTGAACAATACCCTATCACAAATTTTTAATAATTTCATTCTTGGGAAGGTCTAAATAAATCATGCAAAGCATTGGGTTTTGTAGGTTGATGGAAACAACCAACACTGGATTTGATGTTGATTAGGCGATCAAACAGTCAAAGATGAAGAATAACTGTTCCATCTCCACCTCTGTTCTTCAGACCTCACCTCACACTCATACTCATAGGAACAGCGATAGTGAAGCTCTGCATTTTTTCTCACCAAGTAAGTTATCAGCTTACGGGCAGGGCCGTCTTTACCTCTTGTATTTGTCTGTGTATATTGTATGTTTTCCACTAATTGTACAGCGCTGTGGAAAATGTTGGCGCTTTATAATAAATAAATAAATAAGAAAAGGAAAGGAAAACACTGACTTGCTCAATCATTAGATATTCCAAGTTTTTATCTTGAGAGCTGAAATCATCATATTGCTCTCACTTATAGAACATTTACCAAATCATGTCAAACAGGTGAACAATTTTATTTTTATTTTACGGGTGAATTTTTGCACGTGAAAACCATAAATAACATCTAAGCCACATTATAATAAGTAAAAAGTATGGATGTTTTGAAAACTTAACTGAATATTTCGCAAAATTGTAAAACAAAAAATGTGAGTTTCTGACTTAATTTGTAGTTGACAGATAAAATAAATTCTGCAATCTGCAGGGGGAGGTGGTAGTGAGCCCACAGAATATACTACTGCTAATCCTGAGTTATCCGGAGTGACCACTAGGTGGTACTTTTGTCCACAATGATGAAGAAAGAATTGAATTCGAAACAAAGAGAGCTTTTAGAACAACAGACAAAAAAAGCACAACGTTCAACTTGCGAATTCCTCTTTGAAATGTGAGACATTAAAGTACGTAAATCAATATTCTTTAAATAAAGCAGTATGATTAAGGTAAAACACACAACTGAGATTAAGCACGGGTCCTGGGATAAAGCTGCACTTTTTATTTTAGATAAATAAGTACTCCCAAGGTAAGGTCCGACTCTTGACCATGTGCAGGGCTCCTGAGATTAAGCAGTATCTCTAACATGAAGCAAGGGCACACCTGTGTTAAAGCAGAGCCCCTGTGATAAAGTGGTAATCTGGCATAAAAGCAGGGCACATGTGTTAAAGCAGAGCTCTTGTGATAAAGTGATAATCTGGTGTAAAAGCAGGGCACCTGTGTTAAAGCAGAGCTCCTGTGATAAAGTGATAATCTGGTGTAAAAGCAGGGCACCTGTGTTAAAGCAGAGCTCCTGTGATAATGTGATAATCTGGTGTAAAAGCAGGGCACCTGTGTTAAAGCAGAGCTCCTGTGATAAAGTGACAATCTGGTGTAAAAGCAGGGCACCTGTGTTAAAGCAGAGCTCCTGTGATAAAGTGATAATCTGGTGTAAAAGCAGGGCACCTGTGTTAAAGCAGAGCTCCTGTGATAAAGTGATAATCTGGTGTAAAAGCAGGGCACCTGTGTTAAAGCAGAGCTCCTGTGATAAAGTGATAATCTGGCGTAAAAGCAGGGCACATGTGTTAAAGCAGAGCTCTTGTGATAAAGTGATAATCTGGCGTAAAAGCAGGGCACCTGTGTTAAAGCAGAGCTCCTGTGATAAAGTGATAATCTGGCGTAAAAGCAGGGCACCTGTGTTAAAGCAGAGCTCCTGTGATAAAGTGACAATCTGGTGTAAAAGCAGGGCACCTGTGTTAAAGCAGAGCTCCTGTGATAAAGTGATAATCTGGTGTAAAAGCAGGGAACCTGTGATAAATCCTTGAGATAAAGCACAGCACCTGAGGTAAAGCAGCACTGCAGGGTTCCAGGGATACCACTCTGTAACTATATAAAAGAAGGATTTTCCTCTCTCTCTCAAGATGGATCTGCAATATACGTGATAAAACATAACGTACTCTTCTGTAAAATATATCACAGCTTCTTTTGTCAATTTAAAAAAAAAAATACATTTTATTTACTTTGGTTTCTTTTTAAGACTCAAGTTCATCAAGTTCACAGTTTTATTGATTTTCGTAGCTTCTGTTGATCCATAAGAAGGCAAAATTATTTAATTATAAAATAGAAAAATTGAAAGTAACTTTTATAAAAGTTTAAACATGTCATACACATTTCTTACACTTCTTAGATTTCTGCTCTCACCAAGTCATTGCTTTCCCCTATCCCTCTGATCATGGCACGGGTACAGTGAGATGCTAATGAATGCTTTTTTTCACTGAAGTGACATATAGAATGGAGTTTGTCCTGCAAATCAGTATCTATAAAACAAATTTCTTCAGATCATGCACGGCATTACATATTAACGTGTACTGTACATAGGACCTAACATGACACATTTTTACGAGCTATGGGATTCGAAGGCTGGGTAGCTTGCATGGTGTCGGGGAAAGTTCAGAGGACACCCAAAACTAGTGTCAGAAAAACCAGAGCGAAGGAGATTGTTGGATGAAAAGAAGAATTTGAAGGTCCTGTGAAGAAAAATGAGTTGTCAATTTTATCTATATATCTAAAACATTCGTTCTATTTGTCTGTCTGCTGCCTTGCTCACAATCTGTCTGTCTGTGTTCGCGCTGAATCATGATTTGTTTACTTTCATCTCTTTCTTTCTCTCTCTTTCTCTATCCATCCATCCATCTCTTCCATCCATCTCCATGTGTGTTTAATAATAATATGTCTATCTTGAGCTGTGATATGTCATGGTGTTTCTGTCTCATGGTCTATTTGTCAGCCTGTCTGCCTTGCTCACAATCTGTCTGTCTGTGTTCTCTCTGAATCATGATTGACTTACTTGCATCTCTCTCTATCCATCCATCCATCTCTTCCATCCATCTCCATGTGTGTTTAATAATAATATGTCTATCTTGAGCTGTGATATGTCATGGTGTTTCTGTCTCATGGTCTATTTGTCAGCCTGTCTGCCTTGCTCACAATCTGTCTGTCTGTGTTCTCTCTGAATCATGATTGACTTACTTGCATCTCTCTCTATCCATCCATCCATCTCTTCCATCCATCTCCATGTGTGTTTAATAATAATATGTCTATCTTGAGCTGTGATATGTCATGGTGTTTCTGTCTCATGGTCTATTTGTCAGCCTGTCTGCCTTGCTCACAATCTGTCTGTCTGTGTTCTCTCTGAATCATGATTGACTTACTTGCATCTCTCTCTATCCATCCATCCATCTCTTCCATCCATCTCCATGTGTGTTTAATAATAATATGTCTATCTTGAGCTGTGATATGTCATGGTGTTTCTGTCTCATGGTCTATTTGTCAGCCTGTCTGCCTTGCTCACAATCTGTCTGTCTGTGTTCTCTCTGAATCATGATTGACTTACTTGCATCTCTCTCTATCCATCCATCCATCTCTTCCATCCATCTCCATGTGTGTTTAATAATAATATGTCTATCTTGAGCTGTGATATGTCATGGTGTTTCTGTCTCATGGTCTATTTGTCAGCCTGTCTGCCTTGCTCACAATCTGTCTGTCTGTGTTCTCTCTGAATCATGATTGACTTACTTGCATCTCTCTCTATCCATCCATCCATCTCTTCCATCCATCTCCATGTGTGTTTAATAATAATATGTCTATCTTGAGCTGTGATATGTCATGGTGTTTCTGTCTCATGGTCTATTTGTCAGCCTGTCTGCCTTGCTCACAATCTGTCTGTCTGTGTTCTCTCTGAATCATGATTGACTTACTTGCATCTCTCTCTATCCATCCATCCATCTCTTCCATCCATCTCTATGTGTGTTTAATAATAATATGTCTATCTTGAGCTGTGATATGTCATGGTGTTTCTGTCTCATGATCTATTTGTCAGCCTTTTACACATTGTAGTTCAATGAACTGTATAATTGCCTAATGATCTCTCTGTCTGCCTCTCATTTGATCTGTTTTTTTTGCCTGTAACTCTGTCTCACCTTTAGTAGATTCAGTTGGACTAGTGGCTGGCTTACTGATCTGTACTGATGTCTCAATGGTCTGCATTATAGAAGTCCTTTTTGTTGAAGACTGAACAATAGTTGGAAGGCTCCCGGATGATGGCACAGTTTTACTGGTTGATAGTTGAACAGTAACAGAAGATATTGGTTTGCTAACAAATGATGCTGCTCCAGCACTGGGGAAAAAGAAAGCAAACAACTGTTTTGTGCATGGCACAGGGAAAAACATGTACGAGAAGAGAAGAAGATACATACCTTGACGATGATGATTGAGAGGTGATTCCAGCATTTTGAGATGACACTGGTTTACTGCTTGATACCAAATATTCAGTTATGGAAGAAGGATTTGTAGTATTTTTTACTGCATTGCTAGAGGTCGCAGTTCCAGAGGGAGGTGATGTGTTACTCTTTGATGCTGAGCTACTAGTGGACTTTGTACTGGATGAAGACATAATGTTGTTGTTTGGTATGAGATGACTGGTGATGATCAAATCTGAAGAAATCGTTGTCTTACTGTTTGTTACTGAATGACTAATGGTTCCTGTGCTAGGAAAGGACACTGTTTTACTGGTTGGTTTGGACTGATTAGTGCTTCCTGTACTGGATGAAGGTACTATCTTACTGTTTGGTCCTGATTGACTAGTGGCTCTTGTCCCAGAAGACAGCACTGTATTACTGTTAGTGATCATTATGCCCGTAGAAGGCACAGTCTTACTGTTAGTGGTCCCTGTGTCGCTAGAAGGCAAAGTCTTACTGTTAGTGACCCCTGTACCAGTAGAAGACCCAGTCTTACTGTTAGTGATCATTGTGCCAGTAGAAGGCACGGTCTTACTGTTAGTGATCATTGTGCCAGTAGAAGGCACAGTCTTACTGTTAGTTACCCCTGTACCAGTAGAAGACCCAGTCTTACTGTTAGTGATCATTGTGCCAGTAGAAGGCACGGTCTTACTGTTAGTGATCATTGTGCCAGTAGAAGGCACGGTCTTACTGTTAGTGTCCCTGTAGCAGTAGAAGACACAGTCTTACTGTTAGTGACCCCTGTACCAGTAGAAGACCCAGTCTTACTGTTAGTGATCATTGTGCCAGTAGAAGGCACGGTCTTACTGTTAGTGATCCCTGTGCAGTAGAAGACACAGTCTTACTGTTAGTGACCCCTGTACCAGTAGAAGACCCAGTCTTACTGTTAGTGATCATTGTGCCAGTAGAAGGCACGGTCTTACTGTTAGTGATCCCTGTACCAGTAGAAGACCCAGTCTTACTGTTAGTGATCATTGTGCCAGTAGAAGGCACGGTCTTACTGTTAGTGATCCCTGTACCAGTAGAAGACCCAGTCTTACTGTTAGTGATCATTGTGCCAGTAGAAGGCACGGTCTTACTGTTAGTGATCCCTGTAGCAGTAGAAGACACAGTCTTACTGTTAGTGGTCCCTGTTCCAGAAGAAGGCATGGTCTTGCTGTTTGATACTGACAAATTAGTGATGTTTCTAGTTGACAGTGCCTGACCAATGGTTCCAATACTTTGAGAAGACAATGGCTTACTGCTCGTTAATGACTGTCCAGCTAATCTTGTACTGGAAGAGGATACTGTTATGCCCTCTGACACTCTAAGTCTGGTTGTTCCACTGATGAAGAAAGGCTTGCTATTTGTCTTGGTTTGACTAGACACTGCATTGCTAATGAATGTATTTTGATTAATAGTGTTGCCGGTTGGGGGTGCATCCTTAGTGGATACTGAAATGAGCTTGCTGACGGATACTGACTGTTGGGGTTGTGTGCTGGAAGGAGATGGGGTTGTGTTACTGGTTGGTGGCTGCATTGATGGCTTGTTTACTAGAGCATTGATTTCCATACCAAGAGTTTTCAATAGCTGCAGAAGTTCTTGTAAAGAGTTGATTACTGTTGATGGTGTATTAACAGTACATCCAGCTGGGGAAACTGAGAAAAAAAGATAATAAATAGAATGAAGCTTGAAAAAATATTTTGAAAAATGGCAATCCTGTTTTGTCCCTAGTTCAGTGCCCGATTGTGGTTTCTACCTAAGTACCAGATTAGTGTGTACCTTGAGTCTCATGTGTTTTGCTGGGATGGAATAAAGAGAGACAGAATAAAGAGAGAAGGGACAGAATGAAGAGATCTGAGACAGAAAGAGAGAAGAGACAGAATGAAGAGACCTTAGCTAGTTTATAGGAATTTTGAGTACCTCTGTTAGGACCCTGGTTTTTATATTAATATCCCTCTATCTATATTCCTGACCTTAGCTAGATCTCTCATTATTACGTTAAGTTCGGCCACTCTAAGGCCTAGTAAAACATCTATCTCTGTTTCTCTTGGGATTCCTATTTTCTGCGTATTTGGGTACACTGCTTGTGACATTTATAAACCTATAAACAGACAGACCGAGAGGAAGAGAGACAGATAGTAGCAACCAAAAGTCACAATGATTGATTTTTTTATTGTACTTTAGATTAATATACTTTTATTGACCATTATGAGATTGTCAGCTTCTTTGAGGAGGACCCTCTTCACTTACTCCAGGAAGTCCATCATGTTACATTAGGTTTGAGTGTTTGTCTGCACACCTATTGAATAGTGCTGCAGAATATTTTTGCACTATATAAAAAATCATTGTTACTTAAGTTTAACATGCTTACTGTAAGTTGCTGTTGATGAGTGAATGCGCTGAATCTTGTGTATTGTATAAATTGACCTAACTTTTTATTTAAAGACTAAAGGGAATGTGATGGGGGCGAGTTTCACTCCATCTTCTGAGAACCTGTTTATGGGTTTATGGGAACAGTTGGTTGTCCTAGATAACCCGCATTGGATGGAGCGGCTCACCTTCTATCGCAGATTTATTGACCACATTCTGATCATCTGAAAGGGAGGTTGGGAGGAGATTGATGAATTTATTTCTTTTTTGAATTGTAACGATTGGGGGTTGTCTTTTACATTCAACAAGCAAAAAACAAATATAGATTTTCTAGATTTGTCCCTTAGGGCTTGCAAGGATGGTATTTTTACAAAAACCTATCAGAAGAAGGCTGATGTAAACAGTTTTCTACATGCAGGGAATTTGCACCATCCAAAGTGGATTGCAAATGTACCCTTGGGACAGTATATAAGCATCTTCTGCAACTGTTCCCTCCTTGAAGACTATAAAAAAGAGTCTTTCTTGCTTAGCCAGCGCTTTGTGGAGGGAGCATATCCCTCTAAGTCTATCCAACAAGCCTATTTTAAAGCCGGTGCTTTGCAGAGAGATTATCTTATAAACTCTAAGATCTGAGCCCCTTGTGTCGGTCCAGGTATGTCATACTAGATTTCATAAAGCTACTTTGCATCTAGTAGTGGAATCTAGAGTAACATGCAAAGAAAGGCAAAGTATAACATTAGTACTAAGAAGGTCAGTTCAGGCACATTTCCTATCGTTTCAACAGGCTTTTATATAACATTTGATGACATTATCAGCATTTTGTACAAACATTGGCCACTTCACAAAATAGATCCACAGCTCAAATTTTGTATTTTAGATGCACCCAGGTTTACACTCAGAAGAGCCCCTAATCTAAAAAATCAGGTAACCCCTTTGAAACCTAAGCCTCTTCCTGTTCGTTCTGTGGAGTAGGAATCTATTGTTGGAAATGTTTGCTGTGGTCATGGCAGATACATAACTTGTGGTTATTTAAGTCATAAGTCCTCCAAATTTAGAGCCAGCAACAGTGAGGACGTTTTCACTGTCACCCACAGGATGAACTGCAATTTCTCATTTGTTGTTTATTTATTAGCTTCCTCCTGTGGGTTACAGTATGTGGGGCAAACTACGAGGCCTATAAATTGCAGATTTAGAGAACATAGGCAGGCAATCTCCTATAGCACAACGTTTTGAGGGATCCTATAATAGTGATCCCTCTTCTACTTCAGTAGTGGGAATAGATTTAATACTGGCAAAAGGAGATCTGCTGAAAAGGAAAAGAGATCTGACAAGGGCTGAATACAAGTGGATTTTTAAGCTCAACTCCTTAGCCCAGGCATGTCCGGGGACAGAGTAAAAGGGACAGAATAACAGAATAAAGAGGGACAAAATAAAAAGGTACAGAATAAAGAGAGACAGAATAATGAGAGAAGGGACAGAATAAAGAGATCTGAGACAGAAAGAGAGAAGAGACAGAATAAAGAGAGAAGGGATAGAGTAAAGAGAGAAGGGACAGAATGAAGAGATCTGAGACAGAAAGAGAGAAGAGACAAAATAAAGAGAGAAGAGATAGAATAAAGAGATTTGAGACGGAATAAAGAAACAAAATAAAGAGATGAAATGAAAAGTATGCCGTTTGAAATAAACGTTGCATAAAATAGTTAATTTGCATTCAATGTTAATGGTTCAAAGAATGTCAGGCAAAATGGTTGGCCCTCATGCATGTTCACTTCATCAAAGTTTGGCCATAATGGCTGTGGCGAAACTAACCATTTATTTGTATGAAAGACTGTGTTGGTTTGACTATTTGGGGTTCCCAAACAGACTAAAGACATATTGCTTGTCAGTCGAACCAACTACCGAACCATGAGACCACCCAAGGGAGTTGTGTGCCTCCAATTGACTATATCCACACCAAGAAACCACAAGATTCTAAATGGTCGGACCGTCGTTCGTTTGACCTAACACTTGGTGGCGGCCATCTTAGCTCACGAACATACAGCGGTGTTTGGTCGTCGAGCGCATGGAACTCTAATAGGACACTCGAACGGCTCGAACACCGCTGAAACTTCCATCCTCTCGTATGTTTGTTCCTCTTCACCGATACAGAGCGGCATTCAACTGAATGAAACGAAGGAACACAAGGCACACGAACACCTATTATATGATCAGTTGCATTTGTTAGTTTAATGGTAAAAACTCCCAAAAGAAGAACAGTCAAAGCATACAACCACCTGGAACTATTTTGTGGCTTCACATCATGGTTGTCCGGTCTAAACTTCACTCAAATGGCGTTCCTATTCTACCGAATGGATCTGAATGGTATTTTCGACAGAGAGGGCGCTCAGATCCGTGCAGTTCGGTGAAGTATCTTTTGTTGAGTTCTGACTACTATTATATGAGTTTTGATGGTTTGAAATAGTGTTTATTTTTCTGTACTTGGCAGATAATCTAAATAAGGAATTTCCCTTACTCAATTATCTTCCAAGTACAGAGAAAGAGTCTGGGAAATGTTCCTTTGTTCCCTGTCTTCAACAAAGTCCACCTGGAATGTAATTAAAGACACCCCTTGCATGGGGAATTGTATAAAAGCCAGCTGCGGCTCATTAAAAAACAGTTGACTCCCAAAGCTGTGTATCGTCCAGTTATTGGGGAATTTGGATAGGATTGCCAAGCTACGCTTCTCTTGGATATTATACAGGACTACCAGCGGAGATATTGATGTGAATATTGCAACTCTGCTCCAATGGCGTAAATGGATGGATAAATTTTAGGCTATGCATAGATGAGGATTTTCTCTATATCTCTATAGATGGTTTCCCTTTTTTTCTTTTTTATTATAGCCAAAAACTCTGACCTGTCTGCTGATGGAGCAGCAAAGAAAGAGGAGGAGGAGCCTGTTCATTGTGGATAATATACTTCCTATTGCATTTTGATTGGTTCTTGTTTTCACTTTTCTTTGCTGCTGTGGAGTTAGTAAAGAGAGTTTAATGCAAAATACTCGCCTCCTGTCAATATTAAAATTAAGATTATAAGTACACTAAAGCTAGCATAATCTTCAATTTTAGCCTATGCATAGATGAGGATTTTCTCAATATCTCTATAGATGGTTTCTCTTATTTTCTTTTTTATTATATATGTTTTTATTTTATTATATATATTGTAAAGCGCCACAGAATCTGTTGACGCTACATAAATGGCAATAATAATGATATGTTTTGGTTTACTTTTTCATTTAAAGTAAGAGCTTAAGAATTATGAGTCGCGAGAGTTACATTTATACTTATTGTTTCCTGGGGGATGCGTAGCTATATTTCCGTGCAGACAGCTTAGAGAGACTTAATAGCTTGCCCTTCGGTACATCCCAGCTCAGATCTCACTTGTGCCATTACAGAGAAAACACATCTGAAGCATATCAGACTGGTCCCACCCGTACGGGCAGTCCAGATCCAAAATGCCAGCAAGTTCCCTCTGCATGAGAGTTATAGCAACCCCAGATGATCGTTCCAGCCTTATTTTGGGCCTCGTCAGTGAGGTGTAGCTGATTTCCAAAATATTTCAGTGCATATAGTTAGACTGGGGTAAGACTCATTAAGTATCAGTGATTTTTATGTTTTTTTTTTTTTATATATATGATTTTCATATCCGTCTTTGTAGATATTACCCTTTGTATTCATTTTATTATTGTTTTATAATTTTGGTATTTTATATATATATATATATTTATCTGTAATTTCCTTGTCAAGCCAGGATTGCTATGGATTCCTTAATTATATAGGAATGGACTTCTCTTATTTTTTTAATTAAGCTAGTTAAAAACACAAGATTAAGTTGTATGTCAGGTAACTATGTAGATACATATTGTGACAAACTTCCCTTTTTTAGGGAGTTTGCCATGAGTTTTTGGAGGGGACTACTTGCCCGCCTACTGCCCTGCGACTATGGCCCCTGGGGTGTATTGCCATTTAAAAAGTCTATTTGGGCTTATTGGATTTTAAAACACTTTTTCTGTCCCTTTAAATCCATGGGAAAATGTGCCTCTTCCCCTCCACCTTTTTCCTCCTATTGTTTCTCCAGCAGGTTGTTGTCCCAGGGACACTGCCAGACCAGTTTAAACTAGCTGCTTTGTCCCTCCTCAATCTCCCATCAGTACTTGCTAT